TTTTTCTGTACTTGGATTCAGGTTAACCATGACTTTAAGTAAAGTATGACTTTGTAACATAATTCTACATTAATGGAACCCAAAAAGCAGATCCCCTCAGCTGGAAAGGTGGCTCAGAAGTTAAGAGTGCACACTGCTGTGGCAGAAAACCTGAGTTGGGTTCCCAGCACCCATGCCATGCCACTCACAACCACCTGTAACTCTAGCTCCAGCAGATCCGATGCCCTCTTCTGGCCTCCATAAGCACTGCACTCATGTGCAAAAACCCATACCCACACACACATGCATACACATTAATAATAAGAATAATAATCCTTTAAAATCCCTGCAGAGGCAGGTGGATCTCCAAAAGTCTGATGCCGGCCTGATCTACATATGGAATATGGCAAGCTAGAGCTACATAGTGAGACTTTGTCTCAAAACAAACAAAAAAATAATAAAAAATAAAAAAAAAACCTCACAAATGGCTGGGTGTGGGAATGCACTCTAATCCCAACACTCAAGAGGCAGAGCAGGTGAATACAGTGAGTTCAAGGCCTGCTCTATACCTGCACCCACCTTGCTGAGGCAGACCAGAGAAAAACCAAAGAACTCAGCCAGCAGACTTAGTGAATGGTCCCGTCTTGTTGCTTGGCAGGTACAGCCAGTCTCCCCACCCAGGAGGAGCATTCCCGTTTACTGGGTTGTTCCCACAAGCATACAAGCCCGTGGGAGTAACTTACCAACTCAAAGAGAGAATGAAGAGATGGTCCATGGGGAACAGCATGGAGATCTTTTATTGTACCCCTATGGACATGCTGTCTGGGTTCACTTTCTCATTCAATCCTTGCATTCACATAGTAGTTATTGATGCCACCGTTTTACAAATGAAATAGTAGATTCAGAAGGATTCAGTGACCACCAAGGTCATGGAACCATATGTGACTCCATGAGGTTTAACAGTCTGTTGGCCCCAAAGCCAGATGATCTCAAGTTCATAGTCCACGACATCCTAGTTTTTCCCTCCATCCACAGCACCGGTGCATGTGAAGTCAGCCAATCACTGTGAGCATATGTTTCAGTGCCCTCCACACAGAAGAACACAGGCCCTAGACCAACGAGAGTCCCTGGACTGGGTTTCCACAGGATAGCTGCTTCTGCATCTTGCTCCAGGCCGTCACTTGTCTGAATGGCTCTACCACTGAACAATATTGTCAGCCCAGTAATAGGTTGGGTTTTTTTTTATGTTTGGTTGCTTGGTTTTTTCAAGAGCATTTCAATTATTTGAACATTTGGAACAATCTGAATGATTAGTTTTACCAAAGGAATTTTGCAGTTTAACATCTGTTCAGTTTGGCCTTCATCTATCAGGGAGAGGGGGCAGTGGAACCAGGACAGTCATGTGCTACACCCTGAAGAGTTCCTTTGACCCTTAGGGACCTACACTTAGGCAAACCCAGGATTTTTTCACTTTGCCATAGAAAAGAATTTCAAGACAAGATGGTATGAAGTAGAGTTGAAATTTACTAAGAGACTTTTTGTTTGTTTTCTTCGAGACAGGGTTTCTCTGTGGAGCCCTGGCTGCCCTGGAACTCACTCTGTAGACCAGGCTGGCCTTGAATTCACAGAGATCCGCCTGCCTCTGCCTCCTGAGTGCTGAGATTAAGGTCGTGTACCACCACTGCCTGGCAAAAGACATTTTTAATGTGGATCTTTAGCATGGGGGTAATGCAAAGAGATGCTCAGGGGCAGAATAAGATACACCCAAGTATAGGTATAGACTTCTCAGGAGAGTCACTCTTGATGGTTTTGCTAGTCTTATTTTACTGTTTTATGTGTATGAGTGGTTTTGCTTGCATACATGTGTATGTCCATGTGCATGCCTGGTGCCCTTGAAGGTCAGAAGAGTGTGTCAGATCCTCTGGAACCGGAGTTACAGATGGTTGTGAGCCAACATGTGGGTGCTGGGAATCAAACCCAGTCCTCTGCAAGAGCAACAAGTGCCCTCAACCGCTGAGCCACCTCTCAGCCCACCCCTGATTGTTTGATTGTATTCATCTCTATGTGTTCGTGTCTGAGCGTGTGTGTGTGTGTGTGTGTGTGTGTGTGTGTGTGTGTGTGTGTGTGTGTGTGTGTGTGGAATCTGAGGGTCAGTGTTGGGTATTTTCTTTTCCTCAGTCTCTGCCCATCTAGATCTTCTTTCACTGCCCCTGAGCTGACTGTTCGGCTGGCTGACCAGAGATCCCCACCCCACCCCACCCCCATCTCTGCCTCCCGGCACAGCCAGGCCCGGTGCTGAGAGCTGAACTCGGGTCCTCGTATCTGTGCAGGCACTTTACCAACCCAGCCATGTGCCCAGCACCTGCATTGCTGCATTGTCTTTACGGTGACTGTGTATATGGTTCGTGATTTTCTATGTATTGCTCGGAGAATGTAAATTCAAAGGCTTCAAGGGTAGAGAAATTCCTTTCGCAAACAGAATCATAAGGTATATGATATTGTTCAGGTTTAGGAATGAGAGTGAGGTTTTACATACGTTAACTCGAGGTCATAGATCCTTTTAGCTGTATATAAGCACGGTCTGTTTACCGTCTTCGACATACCTGTCTGTGATGCCTCAGGAAAACACATATTGTCTCTGCACACAACTTTGGCTTTATTGGTGGCCTGGAGTTTCCTGATTGTCAGCAGGATAATTGTTGCTATACGGAATCCCTTCAGCTATGGAATATCTGTGTAGAATGTTCCCGATAGAATAAGTAGTCGTGGGATTTGGGAACACTGAGACTCACTGCAGAGTCTTATGTAGCTCGGGCTCACTTCAGACTCCTTAGGGAGTCAATGTCAAGGATGACCCTGATTTCCGATCCTTACCTGCAGTTCCCTATTGCTGGGATTCCATGCATGTCGTACAGTTTCTTCGGGGGCGGGAGGGGAGGGGGGACAGAAGCTAGGGCTTCATGCACGGTAGGCAAGTGCTCTGCCAAGTGAGCCACACCCCAGCCCTCTTGTACCCTTTGGAGAACTAAACAACCTAATTGAAATATGGTTAACACGGGCAGTGCACCCCACCTGGCAGCAGAGATGACCCCTGTGCAGTCGGAAGGACTCCATCAGGTGACAAGGCATTGAAGATCTGCAGAGTTTCAGTTTCACCATCTGCCAAGTGCGGATGACAGGAGCCGCTCTAGCCAGGAAAGGAGAGGCGTGGGAGGAAGTACGTTTTAGGTTGACGAGGCTGAAGCATTCGATAGGGCCAGAGCAGCTGTTGACATGGGTTGACATGGTTGACATGGAGGCTGAAAGCAAGTAAATCAGTGGCTCTCAGGGACCCGCCTTTTAAATAGAAAGCGTGTAAACATGACGACCATTTGCATCTACTCCTGTTCTCTGGGCTCCTGATTGCAGAAAACCTGGAACCCTCCCCAGTTCCTTCTCACAGTGCGGGGACGTGCTGACACTCAGGTCTTGGAAACATTTGAAACTCGTGTACAGAACCCAGGTCAGGGCAGAGAGGCCCTCTGGTTACATAATACACTGTTCTGAATCTTAGAACACTCAGGTTATGAGTTGGGTTCCAGACCGAAGCCCTGTCTGGAGACACGGTAATGATTGCATTACAGTTCATTAAAACCTAGAAAGCAATTTGGCCAAGATGAAAAAAAAAAAATTTAGGCAAGATAAGAACATGCAGAATGTTTAATTAAATTTATGTGTAATTAAATTTCAAGGTACATGTGGGGCAGTTGACATAAAATATTTTCCAGGAAACAACAAAGAAGTCACTTTGTAGAGCAACTTACCTATTACATAGTAGTGAGAAAATAAAACCCAGAGCAAAGCATGGAGGGTGTGGGCAGAGGATCTTCGGTTGTTTGGGCTTGAGACAGGTTCTCCCTTTATAGCCCAAGCTGGCCTGGGCTTTTGGAACAATCCTCCTGCCTCTGCCCTCCTGAGTGCTGGGACTGTAAGCATGTGCCACCACACTTGGCTCATTGCCGAATCTGCTTTGTTCCTTCCTTGATACTGTTTATCATAATAGAAGCTGGAAACTGGGGCCATAGCTCAGAGGTAGAGGGCGGGGCCTGAGTTACACACACACACACACACACACACACACACACACACACACACACACACGCACACACATTCTAATGCTCTACTTCGAAGTGTTTAAAGCGCCTACTAAAAGTTCACTATTTTCAGAAAAAAAAAAGCTTTTTTTTTTTAAAGAGTTTCTCCTCCTTGTCTTTTCTGATTCATTTCCTCCTTCTTTCATCTCGGTATTTGGTAGGGGAGGTGAGAGCCCCTCCCCCAAATGAGATCATTCCAACCAGAACCCAAGGCCAGCCAGCGGCTTATCAGTTGAATCACAGGTCCTTGTCTTTCTAAACAGTTGACAGTTTCCAGTGGGAGCCTGGGAGAGGAGGTAGCCGGGACTTGTGCTGGCTCTGACCTTTTCCTCATTTACCTGGCTGGAGCTGCAGTCACAGGGCTGTCTGCTTCCGGACAGCCTCGGGCCCATATTCCTACTCCCAACTGTGGAGGGCCTGTCCTCCCACCACAGGGCTGTACGAAGATCAGGACAGAAGCTGGGAGGCTGGGTTGTAAACAGAGCCCCCCTACACACACACACACACACACACACACACACACACACACACACACACACACACACACACACACACGATCCTTGGCTACTAAACAAGAGAAAGGAAAGGGAGAAATCTCTCTTACCGCACCCCCAATCTCTTTCTCCAATCCCTCCCCCCTACTTCTAATACTTTCCGAATTGTATCCACCACACCTGAATAACAAAAGCCGAGGAACTGAACCGTTAAAAAACAGGAAGGGTCAAGATATAGTTACATTCAAATTACTGAGAAAGGCAAAGATGCAAACAAATTCAGAGCCAGATTTCCACTTCATGTTTCGTCTCCGTTGATGGCACAGTCTTAAACCTCGGCCATTACTCCTCCTAAAGCAAGAAAGCAAATGCGGTATCCTGTCATTTGCCCCAGAGGCCACCGGAAATGGCATCACCTCCCCAGACACTGGCTTGTGAAAGTTCCAGCACCCAGCGTTGAACTTCTTTCCCTTGAAGACAGTCTGGGCCTTTCTGATCTTCAGCCAGGAAAGGACTCTATCTAGGGAAGAGATCTGGAATCAACAGAGAGACGTATACAAAAAATCACCAGGGGTTTCAATGAGTAAGTACCTCCCAGCTTTCTTGTTTTCTTTTGCTAATGGGTCTCTTATCGCCCAGGATGTCTTCCTACTCCCTATGTAGCTGAGAAAGACCCTGAGAGATTACAGGGCTCTGCTTCCTATTTTCTTTTAAATATAGATTTAAATTTTCTGACTGTCTTTTCTCAGATCCCTACCGTTACAAGTCACTGGGCAGATAGGGGATGGGACTCCAGCCACCGGACTTGGTGGCACCAAAGGAGGAGCTGCTAGTGGTGTAGACTGGTAAACAATTAAATTTCTTTTTTTTTTTTTTTAAAAAAAAGGTGCAAGGAAACAGCCAATTCAGTGTTGAAGGAAAGAGGATGTACAGAGTCTATTTATTGTCTGTGCAATCTTGTCTGTGGTGGTTGACCACAAAGGCTTGGCATTCCAGCCCTGCTTTTCATAAGCGTGTGACGGCAGGAGGCTCAGTCCATCTTTCAACCTTGATTTTTGAATAATGTGTAAATGAATAAAATGAAAAATACCTGTTTCATAAGTTTCTTAAGAGGAGCACATGGATAAGCAAGTAAAACACTTAACTAGCACCCCAAGAGTCTAAATAAGGTTACCCAATTGGTGTTGTAAAACAGCTGGTTAAATACTTCATTTCACTGCAAATAATAATAATAAAGCTAGCTAACATCTGAGTGGTGGGAATGGAACCAGATAAACTCCAACCCTGTTTTGTTTCCTCGTGGAAAATGTAAAGTTGTGTACAAAATAGTTTTTCCAGCGGAGAATAACAAGGAGGAAACGGCATGCAAATTTTTCTTTCTAGATAATTTTACTTCCCTTCTTTTCATTTCAGCAAATATTTATAGCTGGAGTTAAAAGCTTTGGGTTCTGAAACCCTGTTTCTACCCCCAAGAAAGGAAACCTACCTATGCCCCAAGCCTATCTAATCTCTCAGAAGTTGCCCTCAATACCAGGCCGGTTCTGGCTTTGGTAGCTGAGCAACCTTGGGCGATTTTGTGTAACCTCTGCGTGCCTCTGTTGGTTTCTGTCAGCAGAGGTAACTAAAGGCTGAGCTGTGAGAACCCAACAGGCCGGCCAGCAGAGTGGGTGGCTCTCTGGAAAGAGGCAGAAGTGAGGGTGCACCGTGGAAGACACTAAGACCAGAGGACTGCAGGAACGCTTGGGACACGGAGGCAGGAGGCGCTTGTGTCTGAGGAGAGCCTGAGTGACAGGGCCTGTTAACTGCTACAGCAGACCAAGCGTTAAGGAGTGGGGCCCTTGGAGGAAGGCGAGGCCTGTCTGAAGGCCAAGCAGGAATTTCTGACAAAATTGACTTCCAGTCAATGAGTAGATCTTAAGAAACAGATCCCAGCAGGGGGCGGGGTGCACGCCTTTCGTCCCAGTACTCAAGAGGCAGAAGGCAGGCAGATCTCTGTGACTTTGAGGCTACAAAGTGAGTTCCAGGACAGGCAAGGCTACCCGGAGAAACCCTGTCTCGAAAAAGAAAAAGAAAATAAAAAAAGAAAAGAAACAGATCCCATGATCTCACACCCACAAATGGGGGGGGGTGTGTGTGTGTGGATAATGAAGAAAAAAAATTAGCCATGCAAACTAAGCTAAAACAGAAGTAAAAGTGAACAGTGCTCAACTTCTGAAAACGTTGCGAAATCCTAAAGTATATTTTCAATATACATGTGTATCTACCTTACATATATAACAGTGGAATGTATAACCAATCTGTTATAATCTATATGATATATGATTAACATTAAAATACAATTTGCTTGCCTCTGCCTCCCAAGTGCTGGGATTAAAGGCGTGTGCCACTGCTGCCCGCCTGGGCTACAGAATGAGTTCCAGGAAAGGCGCAAAGCTACACAGAGAAAACAAAACAAAACAAACAAAAAATTCAGTTTGGTATATAAATGTAAGGTAGATGCACACATCTTGCCTACCATGCATCAGACCCTGGGTTGGATCCCCCACGACCACCTTCCCCCAAACCACGCCCCCCCCAAATAAATAAATAGTAATAGTTGAGTTGAGCTACATTCAGGCTATCATTTTAAGGATTTTTTCATGTTTCAAGAATGGTGACAACAGCCATTTATGAAAAATAAAAACAAGTTGACACAGCTTTTTGGATGGGATGTATTTCCACCCAGTCATATGTCCACCCAGTTTCCATCCAGAATTGAAGCTCTGGACACACGTTAGAGCAGGTTGCCTTGGTCCCAGGCCACACCAATATTTACCTTGAGGAAGACTGTCCAAAGGTCGGGAGGGAATGGTCTTAGGAATTGTCACAATTTGGTGTGAGGATAAAGAACCCTGGAGAATTTGGAAGGCTATTGTTATTCCTCCCTTCCCCCACTAAAGAACTTTACCCACCTGAATGCCTGGAGCTGAGGAGACACTGGGGGTGGGGTGGGGTGGAGAAGGGGTTATTTATAATGTGGCAGCATTTTGCTAGCCATCAACTATTTAGGAAATCACTAGTCACTCACTAGGCTCCCCGCCCCTCCAGGCCACAATGCCCGAGGCTGGGAGAGTGCAGATCTGGCCGGGATCTCCAGCTGATCTTACCCCAGGGCCGAATCCCGGGCCCTCCCACTCAGCCTGGTGGCTTTATTGCCTCAATTCTGAGTCATCTGCATACAAATAGTATTGATAAGGTGATGGGTGGTCCTTTGTCTTCCTCCTCCTCCTCCTCCTCCTCCTGCCTGGGTCTAGGGAAGAGAAGCCATTTACAATCTGGCTCGGACCACGGGCAAAAGCCAGAACCAGATTATCTAGAGCAGAGCAGGGACTTGCTCCAAGGCTTAGGGGTGACTGAAGCCAAGGTGGAAGGGAGTCTGGAGAACTGCTGAGGGGGCCTTGAGAAAGACGGTCTTTGGAGGGAAGCCCTGGGAGAGGACAGGACCCCGCAGGCCCGGGGCTCCGGTGGGCGCTGCAGAAGTGGCGGTCAGCAGCCACTGCGAAGGTCAAGAATCGGCCTTTGAAAGGAAGCCAAGAAGCCACTGGTGACTTACTGACAAATGTCTTCGGGTTTGATGCGATTGGAAGCCAAGTTAAAGCCCGAGGAGGAGTGAGTGGGAGGAGAGGACCGGACACAGGCTGTGCAAAGAGCGCTTTAAAAAATGTGGCCTTGAAGGCCAGGCAGTAGGACAGACAGGCCGGGAGGTGGAGCCAACAAAGTTACCTTTTTTTTTTTTTTTTAAGCAGGGAGAAATTAGGAGGGTGGGAGCTCACCTTAGGACGAGTGACTGAAAGGCAGAAGGCAGGGTTAGTCCACTCAGGGGAGGAGATAGGTTGAGGATGTAGAAAGCTCCCGGCGCGACTTGGCTGTTGGCCTTCTTCCCCAGAAGGAGGTAGGTGGTGTCTGCCTTTGCACTCGGTGGGAAGGGGGACCTCGAGGTCGGGGGATCGGGGGCTTCGGGTCCTTGGGTTGTTTGCTCTGGAGTGGGGCTTAAAGGGGGTCCGCTGTCCTGCAGGCGGGACTAAGCCTTTGAGAGGCCGGGGTATCCTCTTATCCTCGCAGGGGGGGAAACCGAGGCTCGGAGAGATGGGCCTCCAGCCTGAGACCAGTACGGCACTGTGTCTTTGAGGTGAAAGCCAGGTTGCCAACTCGGGACTTTTTCCTAACCCTGTTAGACAGATTATAGGTGCAGTTGAAATAATGACTCGGGATGGTAATGCTAAAAATGTGCAAAGCTGTATGCGATTGAAATCAAACTTTTATGAATTGTTTAAAAAGATCCAAATGGGAACCTGGCGGCGGTGGCGGCGCACGCCTTTAATCCCAGAGGCATGCAGATCTCTGAGTTCGAGGTCAGCCTGATCTACAGAGTAAGTTCCAGAACAGCCAGGGCAGAGAAACCCTGTCTCTAAAAGAAAAAAAAAATGGCCCAAAGGTTATCTTTTTCTCTAAAAAGTGTCTGCATAGCAAGTATTAAGGACCTCCACTTTGTTCTTTTTTTTGTTTTGTTTTGTTTTTTGTTTTTCGAGACTGGGTTTCTCTGTGTGGCTTTGCACCTTTCCTGGAACTCGCTTTGTAGACCAGGCTGGCCTCAAACTCAGAGATCCGCCTGCCTCTGCCTCCCGAGTGCTGGGATTAAAGACGTGCGCCACCACTGCCCGGCTCCACTTCGTCCTTAAAATTTCCCCGTGTGTTTCTTTCAGTAGCCCATCAGATTTATATTAGACTATTCATGGGGGGAAACATGGTGCTTTAAGAGTTTTTTAAGCGTATAGCTTTTCAGACTCACAGTCTTTTTCGGAATTCTTCCATTGCTGTTTGTGCCGTTGAATGTTCTGGGGAGGGATGATACAGGCCCGCTCCCAGTGTGTCCACCTCAACTCATGCCTAAGCCGGATTGGTTGTCACCGCCACCGGGAACCCCCTTAGAAGGCTGGCCAGGCATCACTGCGATATGTCACAAGTGTCAACCAAGTTAACTATGCTGAGTGACAGCTGTCAAGGCCCGGACACACCCTGGAAACGACCTTTTTCCTCATTAGGCTGCAGGGCTGAGGCCTATGAAGCCAGGTGATGCATCACCTGGCCCGGGAGGGGTGAGATGGGTTTCCTTCCCTGTGGCTACCTGGCCGCGGTGTCTTTATGTTGCCACTTACCACAGTATTTCACAATAATTTTATACATCTGGTTTGGCCCTAAAGCCATCTTTAAAATATTGCTCCTCCCACTTTTGGTGTTGTGGAGAGTAGATACCTCACTTACTTGCCCCAAATCAAGTCCGTGGCGAGTTCTCAGTCCAGAGTCCAGAATGCAGTGGCAGGCCCTCCTCCGGAGCCGGTGGTTGGTAGGCCCCGTCCAGTCTAGTGTGGGCCCATTGCAGGCCATATGATTTTTGACAGATTTAGTTCAACTTAGAAAACTAAACAGTTACCAAAAACATAGTCAAAAGGCGAGTTCCTGAGAAATAATTTTCTTGTCTGTACGCGCATTGTCTTAAAATTGAAGGGGAGCTTGGAAAAGTCAAAAATAATGGTTTGCGCTGGG